AGTTCCACAAACTTCTAATCTTTCCGGTCCGCCCGACCAACCAGAGCAAGCCCATCCACACCAACACATACCCATCATCTCCCATCCGAAAACTTCTCTTTTTTAGAATATCAAAATCCAGATCTAGGCGCAATGGAACTATCCTTGACACACACAATTAGTCTTTCTCTTCAGTGCGGTGGGGTGGGTTGCATCCAGAATAACTATTGATCTTTTAGACATTGTCGTTTTGCCTAATCTTCCAGGTGGCTTTGAAATATCAAACTACAAAGGCGTTGACATAAACAATTATTTTTCTCATCCAGTCGGTTTCTTGGAAAATAAGTTTGCATCCTACACATCGCTTCAACCTCAACTTTTAACCCAGATATAAACTCTGTTCATCTTACTTTTGCTTACTCGCGTAAAACCTCTAGTTTGTTTTGAGAAAGGGCATAACCGCCAAGATACCCAACTAGCAGCTTGGTAATTTTTTGTATGGAAAAAAGGACTCCATCCTACATTTGTTTTTGTAGATCTCATTATATGACAGAACCTAAGTTTTTACACCCACCGTTCCAAAATAGATGACTCAACTTTTGTACTAACTTTAGTACAAAGTTGGGTCATGTTTTTTGGAACGGAGGGAGTACATGTAAACCTGGCATAATTCTCTTCATGAATCGTTTCAGGCGGATATAACAGAGACAAAGTTGGACCCAAAAGAAGAACGGAGGGGAGCCGACATTTAACTGATGGCACGATACCAGCCTTCAACGGTGAGAGGCAGCCCCTACAGTTTTCCACCGCACCCAAATTTTATTTTGTAGTCTGTTCAAATAACCGATCAATCTTCGCCCTTGCTATATGTTTTGAAGAAAAAGTCATCCTTAGAGCGGATGTGTTTTTATCCACCCATCTTACTGCTTTCTCTTTCATTTTTGCACGATGATACAAGCAGGACATCCCTGTGCGCATCAAGGAGGAGAATGATGACGAAGTTACCAGAGCCATACCTCGCCGTATCGGATTTCTCTATCCTGAGTTGATGTACCACAACTTTGCTGTCAACATAACGAAGCCACGTCTGGTTCACATGAGGGTCTGCGAAGCATGGGTGGATATGAATGGCGACTTCCCTAGACAGATACAGCTATCATTTTGAACTGT